TCGAAACCTGATGATTGTTGACGGCCAAAGAATGTCATCAAGTGGTCGTCACCAATTCATCAGTGCCGGCATTTGACTACGCAGGGCTTCGTCATCGACTGTGGACACTCGCCTTTTGCAGATCAATCTTGAAAGGTCAAGTCGCCAGATTCGAAGCGTTTGAATCGTCGAAACCAAGAATATTGAATAGTGCACGATTTAGACCCTGAATAAAGGCTATTTTTTCTACACGATCCTCATAGCAATACGTAGGAGGTGATAGGGCACAGAGTTGGTTGCTCAACAGGAACTATAGGAAGTTAAATGATATAAGCTCAACTAGCGTCACCTCTATTTCCCCATTATTTCACTATATATTTCTAGTGGAAGACTTTGCACATCATCCATTCAAAATCTTCGTGAATTTTTGAAATATTTTCTGACTTTCTTTGCAATAATATCTTTTGAAAGCAACTGGATCCTTGCCAACGGTGACGAGATAGTTTGAGGATGTTGGAGTGAGATGATTTGGATTAAGGAACGTTTGCCGAGGCAGGTGTGGTTGCAATTTGATAAGAAGACATTGTAGAGAGCGTGTGTGAGATTTTATTTGATGTGATCCGAGTCGCATGTGGTGCACAGGTTAAAGGTGCTTTCCAATACACATAATCTTTGGTCCAATCGCGCACTCGGTCAAACCAAACCCGCCATCCTTCTTGAGTTGGTAAATAAATAGCAAACCACTGCAGTAGGATAAAGAAAACGTTGAATTGATTTACGAGAATGCCTCCATAGGTCTTAGACGAAAGATGCTTTGAGTCACCTCTGTGGCGCTTGGTTGGGTCGAATGCATGGTGTGTCTTTAAAGGACTGTTCAACGCCGGACGCTTTATCTTCTTCCTATTTGATGGTCAGCGTTGAGCTAGCAAATCTTTCTTCTTTCGATCCTCTCTGTTGCCCACTCTAACAAAGAAGAACTCTTTGCCTTCAAATGGTGAAAAAGTCATTAGTTCAGTAAAGTAAAGTTCAGATTTGTGACAGTAAGGCTTGATCTTAGTGCATCCTATGTTGTTGAAAAATTGAGACTTTAAACATTGAGCTGACACAACTCAGCTCGTTATGATCGATGTTGTTAACTGAAGTAAAAGCCATAGGAGTATGCATGTCTATCACAAAAAGATACGGGCTTTTTTAATTCTGTCATGACGTATGTCGTGTCATAACGAAGTTATACTTCTTCTTGGAAAACGTGAGGATTGTTCTGCTTTTCGTTTTTTGATGCCGAGGCACATGCTTCGAACAACAACGCGAGCAGGATTTCGCCAAGCAATGTGTGGGGGCGAGGATGTACGCGAGTTCGTCGTTTGTTTGCAGAAATTGATGTTCCGTAAGAAATTGAATTTTTTTCCCTTATCAGGACTTTTTAAAATTTGAAATGTTTTTTGTATGACCCGCCGTCATATCTACTCTATGGATCTCAGCACTTCTTGCATTCGATTCGCTTCCTCGCAAGTATCGTCCATAATGACCCTCGAATATATCACGTGTTGTTTCGTCTGATGCTTGAGGATTTCATCTTTTTTATTAATGTCATAGAATGCTTAGGATGCTGGTCGAGTCGATCGTCTTGCAATCTTAGAGATAGCCTGGTTAAGGGGTTCCCATGTGTATTGAAGGGGAGCGTTGATTTGAATTAAAAAAAGAATGACATCTGAGGGAAATTGTGCCTCTTTTTAAAGCCATAAGATGTTTCCTGTATTATTTCACAGGCTCGAAAGTTTTTAATATTTTTAGTTACCACGAAATTGTCAATGACTATCGAAAAAACAAGCATTGTTGCGAGTTTGTGAAAGGATCTGGATGATTCCTTCCTTTCTTACCCCAATGTGAAGACACTCTTCCACTACATTTCCTCATTTCAGTGGAGATGATGTTCACTGTCTGCTGGTTTGGTGAATGATCCTTCAGCATTTCAAAAACATTTTATCATAGTTACTATAATCGATGAAGAAAATTGGTTTCATTTGCATAGCGTTGTTCGATGTTGCATATGAAACTTCTTCATGTTAAGTGCTGTGTTTGAGAAGAACATAGCGATCATTGAGCTTCAATTGCTCATCGTACTGGTTTTGAATAGCTCTTTTTCCCCCTTATAACAGTGCTTTGTAGTTTTTTCCTATTCCTCTCATGTACTACTCTTTTTGTGTCATGCATTGACATGTTACGTTCAAATCATCTAGAGAAATTCAACCGATAACGTTTCTAGGGCACATAGTCCTTTCCTCCGAAAGTCCTTATACCAAAAATCTAAAAAAAATAATAATGAAAAAACATAAATGCGTGGTAGTAAGGCGCAAAATTTAGGGAGATTTCGTTCTTCTAACAAATTACATCGAAAGAAAAAGAGCTTTGCCTACAGCTTCAGTCGCTAGTGAAATCCAGGATTCCTACTCAATAACCCGTCATCTGTTTCTCATTTGTCTATTTTTCTTGAAATGATTCTTGACTGTTTTTTCCCTTCTGTCTTTCTTTTTCAATCGACATGTCTGGCGCGAGGTAACAGCAGTTGCTTTTTCTCTACACCCCTACGGAACCTTCCGTTGATGATCAGGTGTTGCCCGATGCCAGAGCACCCAGGCACAAGAAGACCTCATATTTTCCTATTGCACCCTCAATTATTAGTCTTTTTCGGCGAAATGGTCTCTTCCGATAGCTTTATGGTGTCTTCGAGAAGAGTCATATGGCCGAAAATCGATGCTAAACGGTTTTCCACTTTGCACTTGCCCGCCACTTCATTGAAGACATTTGATCGACGTACAGGATACATTCCATGTGTACTGGAACACACCCATGTGCGCATGCATAAATATGTACTGTGTATCAGTCCGATACAACTAAAGCAGTACCACATCTTCTGAATCCATCTGCGCCTCAGGGAACAACAAACTTGCTTTTGGTCCTCACTTAGCTCTCTTCCATCTACATTGGACGCACCACGTATCCTCGCGACAAATCAAAATGAGAGAAACTCATATGAAGGGTGTTCATAGGAATTAGTAGTAGTTATTAGTATTTAAGAACAAAATCAAGAGAAGCAATAATGACAATGTTAACAGATACTCGACTACACCTATTTTTGTGTGACGGGCAGTGAACACACCCTATTTTTCGCCGCCCGCGATGTGCATTGGAAAACCCTTTCAAAATGATTTATTGTAAACTATCAAGTGTCGAGAATAGCTTCTCGGCAATTATTTCCGGCACTGCATCTGTGTTGAATAACCTATCTATTAAGAAATGAAATGTGTGGCAACTAAGCTCGTTGCGACAAAATGAACAGTGAGGAAAAACATGCGATGAAGTGGATGCATGCGTTCCACTCGGTCCACCCAGCTGTGCGTTGACATCGATGAACAGGTGTTGCACATTTGTTAATATGCATACCAATAAACACTCCAGCACTATAAAAAGCCGGATGTGTGTAGGATGTGAGTAAATAAAGGCAAATTTGTTATTATCTTAAATGAGCATAATCGCGTTTCGTTGTAGTATTAAGGGTGAAGTGCATTATTATAAATCATACTGGAACTGTGTAATGCTCTATGTTGTTACAGTATGATTACGAAGAATAAGACGTTCTGTAAGGCTAAGCTAAGAAGTGGGGCTGTGTTGTTGATGAATCCATCCACTCAGAGCTGATGTGCATAAGTATTCGTGCACTTCGTGTGTTCAGCAATGGAAGGAATCCAAGAGTGTACAGTTCTCTAGGGTGCTTAACACTTAAATTGTAATCTTAACTCTTTTATTTACTGGCTTTTTCTTTTTAATGGCAGGGTATGTTGCGAAATATAACTCATATGAAATGCTGAGATATTTGCAAAACTCCGGACCACAGGTGTATGCAGTGGGGAACGAACACGCGCTGTTGTCCTTACCGGGAAGCAGCGCACTTCACCACTACACCATCCGGGTCATGGTGTCATGGTTTGCAAATATCTCAGCATTTCATACTTAAATTGTAATTCTTTATCATTTACACTAGTGGAGGGCTTCTGGTCATCGCGAAGCTCTTCATCAATGTATAGTTGCGGTTCGTTCGGCATTCACTGGAATGAATTTGTATTCAGAAGAAGTGCCTTGGTAGTTTAACAATTACGGTCGTAATGCTTTGACATCGATCACTATAAGCTCTTCACTAGAGGTCATTGTACAATCACAAAATCCAACTAAATGTAGTCACAATTAGCTAGCTATGAAGCGACCCGTCACCGTTGTAAAGAGGCTTCCAATTTTCTTGGCCTAAAAATTGCACATTTCCTATTGTTTTCCGCATTTCCATATATTTATTCGGTACATTTCCTATTGTTTATATAATAATATGGCCACATGACTCATTTCTAAAATGTGTGTGATGCTCTGTCGAAAACTTCGATAAGGACTGCGCGTCATGCCTTGAACAACGACTCCTTGTGGGATGCGTGGTACATCCATACATTAGACGCCATTGAGCTTCCCAGAAGTAACTGGATGCTCTTTTAGCCTACACATTCGATTTTGGTGTGTCTTTACTCTCCTAGACCAGTTTAATACATGGACAGAGACCACATATTGTGCGGATCTTAGCACTTCTTGTATTCGATTCGTTTCATCGAATGCGTTATCCACGAAAGTCTTCAGATTTTTTTGTGAGTTTGGTTATTACTTTAGGATTGGATCTTCTTCATGAATGCAGTTGTGTTTCATCGGATTAGATTCTTCCCAGGAAGCTGAGATAGCAGTTGTTGGAAGTTCCAGGAGTTCGCCAGAGGTTACCTGCTTTTGTCGATCGAAGAGAGCTTACCAGACAAATAGTAACAATTTCTTGTCGGCCCGCTGCGGAATGGAAGAGTTCAATCGACGGAGTTTGAACAGAAGGCTTATTATTGGACGCCATCTATACTACAGCACCACTCATGCTCCACTACGTTAATTACCTAATGAATATGTAAATTTGCTTTTAGGAACTTCCCAGGTGTAGAGTCATGGGATGCAGCAAAGTATATAGAATACATTCGTCTTCAAATACTGTGAAAAGTGCTCAAACAAACCGATTATCAATCCAGTATTCAGATTCACGAGCGTGCATTCCCTTATATCGATACACTCACGATGACTGGCAACAACTTCGGCGATATATCAGAGGGACTTTTTACTGAAGGTTGGTCGTCCATTTCGAGCTACGATACTCACCATGTAACAAGCACCTACAAAATTCTACCATATTTTTTGACTTGGGAAATATGCATGTTTAATAGACTTGTAGTGTACTAGTTTGAAATGTTCGAGGGTATGTTCAGACATTGTTAGCTAACCTAAAATTTATTTTCTGGTCTCCCTTTAGCTTTTATCACTCGTTTTCTTGGCTGCCATGAAAAGCGTGCTCATCGATTAATGGAGAGTCCTTCACAACACATTCTCTGTGTTCGTGTTTCCATGCCGTCTCCTAGCGAAAAAGTTGACGTAGACCAAGTAGACCGTAGACTGCAAGAACTGTTCAATTCTGTCTATGGGTTTGCAATTCCATGATTACTCTTCTAGGAGAAGTGCATCGCAGCTTGTCACTGATGAATCTCACTGGCAACAGCATCACTAAGGTCTCATCACTAACATTCAAGAGCACACCAGCCGTACAATTCCTCTACCTCAACAATAATAACATAAAACAGGCTGGACGATATCCATTTGAGCCCATGAAAAGGTAAAAGAGGTTATTTAAAGTAAAACTTGCAGACAGTGAAACGTCTTTGTGAAATATAGCGACCAACTTCCAAGCTCTATTTGACGAGAAGTTAGAACCTTAAATTACAGCTTCCTATGCGTCGTACCTCTAGTAGACATTTACAGCAAAATTTAGCTTGATTCTGGTGGAATCAATCAAGTCCTCTTTTTCACTTGGAGGAATTTTTGTGGATCTTCCCATGAAGCAGGGTTATGTCCGCCATGATCACTGAGGACACCGAGGACAGCTTTCTGAATGGTCTAATCAAAGCGAGTTCAGATTGCGATTGCTGGACATGACCGCTGCGCTCGGACGACGACCGGCCGAGTCGAAAGCGGATTTAATCTCGGTACTTTTTGAGACCGATATGAGAGGCCTTGTAGAACTTGCCGAGCTGAAACTCGCCAAAAATCACATTGAAAAGCTTCACAAGGACACATTCTGTAAGGTAAACTTGAGTATTCTAGAAACTTATGAAACAAAAAAAAGGATTCATATAAGGTTGCAAGACTCTTGCAATCATGACTGCTTCATTAATGTGACAGAAATTGTATGCCGAGCATATTAAGCGTAATCTTGAGACACTCTTACTTCGATCAAGAAGATCCAGTGGAATTACATTTCCTCACGAACCATTAAAAAACGCCGACCACAGGCCAGAAATCTATGAATGTTTTTCTTTGTTTTGACGACTTGCGTGCTTAATTCTATGAATGCTCTTTTAGAGGACATTTGTTCGACCTTGCTGTTGGTTGCTCATTTATATGAAAGTTAGAAAAGTGATATCAGCCATTTTAAACAATCTTTAATTGCGCTTGAGGGCGTTTCCAGCGTAACGATTAGATCTGCCTGTAGCAATCACGTGGTCTTTGGTTCGATTCCGCACCTTGGTTTTACCAATCCTTCCATTTCTCTGGGGTTGGCAAATTTCTACCAGACTTGTCTGGTAGAAACACTTACTCGATACATGTCTAGGAAATTGCAAATCATTGTATAGGAAAATATTCATTTAATCACCTCTATGTTGCATTAAGTGAGATGCGTTGCGCATCCCTGGAAAACTGATCAACACCGAACGCTTTGTCCTGTTATCATGGCTTGAATTGTAAATTTCAAAACCTCCAAAAACAAGCAGTTTACAACGAAACGAAAAGACGTTTTCATTTTATGCCTTTTCTTGAACAAAGAAAAAATCAGTAGAAAAAATTCTCGTGGTTTTGCAAAAAAAATTATCTAGAAGGAGCAGTTTTTAAGTAGTGCTTAAAGGTTAGATCGCGATCGTCTTTGTGTGTGATGCCTTAAACCCAACGGAAAATGTGATGCGCTAATGACTAATTCAGGAGGTTAGGGAGTTAATTTGCTGGTCCGAATGCCTCAAAATAATTAGCAGCGGGTTTGTAATGAACTGGGCAAAAAGAATGCCTCCAGCAAGTGAAGGCAAATTTCAGGACATGGTTTCAGGTGCTCGGACTGCGTAGATTGGACCTTTCCGAAAACAACCTCACTTCATTCAGTGTGGCCAGGAACTGCCTCCAGTCACTCGAAGCCCTCGACCTCAGTAGAAACAGCTTCGCCACTGTAAGCCATTTGAGCTTTTTGATACTGTTTTATAAATCAGCATCATCAGAACACGCGGAGCCGAGCATTAGTGAGGGAATTAAAGCGTTTTTGACTGAAACCGTGTTAATGTCCGAAATCCTTTTGCACGGGTCCAGTGGAAGTATCCATTCAGAAGAAATCCCCAAAAATTGGAACTGTTGATGAAAAAGTAGAAATGTGTAAAGTTTCCCGTTTCAACGATGACTATTAAATATACGCGAAGTCAGAGATCTAATCCTTCATCCACTCTTCGGTTTACATTTATCATCTGAGAATCGGTCTCATTTTAAGGCATGGTTAAAAATCATTAGCTATTTCTATTGTACCAAGCCAGCCGTTTCATCATTACTAATTGGAAGTCTTTCCTATCAGTGCTGATTGTACATCTCTTTGAATTTACTAAAAAATAGCTGGAGTATTCTATGCCATACAGCTATATTCAATGCAAATTGGTTACACTTACGATTCGTAATATCCATAAAAGCTTTAGAGCTTTTAATGTGTTATAAATTATTCACCGAACTAACTATATTTTTATTGAGAAGATTGATCTACTGCGTTGGAGTTTCACATTAAGTCGGCAGGTGCAGTAGGTGAATAGATTAACTCTGGAATGGCGAGGCTTTCCCGTGATAAGTTGCATGTTTAGGAGTAGGAGGTTTTAACCATAGGTATGCTGAGATATAAGCAAAACTTGGAACCTCAGCTGAGCTTCGAATCCGTAATTGCCCGTAGCGGTGTCTCATGTGGTATACGCCACTGCAACCGAGGCCATTGCTTTGCCTTTCTCTCAGGCGGTTTTTCACTCTCATTACCTTGCTTTGAAGAAAGAACATACAATACATAAAAGTTAAACAATATAACGTTTCAGTTTTCAACAACACTATGGGATTCTCTGGAATCGCTTAGCACACTAGACATCTCCAGTAATCCACTACATTGTGACTGTACGCTACAACCGTTCGTGACGTTGGCAAAGCAGGAGAAGTACAGTTTTGTTAATCAGGTGTGTTTGAATGAGACTCTGTGTTTTACGACTCGTTTTCATTCCCATTTTTATTCTTCTTCTATTTATTTTTTTCGGATTCTAACGATGATTCGTATTACGAAACACTTACAGGGCAAGACATTCTGCGCATCGCCATCGAACCGAGTCGGAAAGAACCTATTCGAGCTAAAGGAGGATTTGTGCCAAGCGAGCAGCTGGGGTTTAGGCACCTTCATTCTTCTGCTTGTCATCTCTGCTGCTTGTAAGCATTATTCTCGATTCGATGTTCTCATTTTTAAAGGTTTCTGAAGTGCAGACTTCTCCTAACAGGCCTTCTGTATAGAAAATTTCTACTTTTAATCTTTTTGAATTTTTGAAATCAGGAAAACAATGAAGGAAGAATAGTAAACTGTTGTGAATAGTTACCAGCGATCAGTCGTCGACGAGAATGATATATTTTATGCCTACAGTATATAAATTTCTTATTGCGTAGTCTTATTTTTGTTACTATACAAGTAGTTTTTTCACTTTTTTTATTTTTGCGTAGGGGTAGCGCAGTGATTAGCGATACCGTCGATCAGGAAACAAAGGCGCTGATTCATTCGACCCTTTCCCACAATGCTTTCCTCCAGTCCACGTGGGAACGCCTTAGCCAGGCTATCTCAAGATTGAAGAGAATCGCCTCGACGACCACTCTACGACATTCACACAGATGACGAGTTCCTCAAGCAGCATCCGAAACAACACTTGAATTGTCGGGAGACCTTAGCTGAAGATGAATACGAGGAAAACTAATCGAATGCAAGAAGTCGTGGAATCCGCACAGGAGATGTGATGGCGGATCATGCAGAATAAAAAATAGATTATTTTTTATACTTTATTACTCATCACGATTGCTTGTTATTTTCATTAATTTTTATTATTTTATTTCTTAGTTTGTTGCTCAAATTTATAAGTCTCACTTATAAATTAGTTCTTAACAATATTGATCGGCAACAAGTACCGCATCGCATCGCACGCGCGTGCATCATCATGTGGGCGGTACCAATAGCAAATCGCGGCACGTTCATTCGTCGTCTTATATTACGTCCTACACTCTGATTGCTTATTCCAGATTATTTTTCATATATTGCTTATCAACTTATTAATTTCTTCTCGTTCTCCAATATTCTAATGCTGCTTTTAGGTCTTTTCGCTTATCGTTACTACCGTAGCCGTACGCCAAGAAGATCAGGGTTCCAGTTCGGATATAGTGGATTGGACTGTGAAGATGATACGGTTCGACCGGAATTTGTCTAATCTAACTCACCAATGTGCCTGTCTAACGCATTTTTGTAGAGTTAACCTAGGGTATTTTTGAAATTAGTTGCATAAAATTCTCTTTCAGTTTTCGCATAGTTTTAAGTAGTCTTTTAAAGATGTCCGTTATTCACCATTTCTGTTTTCTGAATTTTTTTAGCGCTTCCGAACTTCATATTTTATGTTTTTCATGGTTTTCATCGTATTGCAGTTGAGCTAAATGGGCTTGGTAATCATTTTATCGAAGAGCTCCTCATAAGTGAGTCTGAAGTCGTGCTCACTGGGCGTCCTCGTTACCAGATGTGTAATTTTGTAAATATTTCTTACTTACAGTATTTTTCGTTCCGAAAAAAATATTACACTACCTTTGCTTCTGCATTTCCCTCTTCTTCAGAGTAGTTTTTAAGACAAGAAACAGTCAAATAACCATATCCACGCGTTTTTGCATAGTTGCTGAATTTACAGTATCCGTTGATCTGTGCGACTTGCTGTTTTTTAGCAACAAAAAGTCACACTATAGATGTTTGCTCGTAATTTATTCAAGGAATTCCATGCTGTCCTACAAATTAGCAAGCTTGTTTCCAGACCCGAAGGTGCCATCACAATTATGGGTGTGGGTCCGTTCTATCGTTATTGCTTACTTCATATCAACTTTCTAATGGTTTTGAGCTTCGTACTGGTTTCTCAGATGCTTTCTAAATAAAACAGCAGGTTAAAATTCCTTGATTTCATTGTTGGTACCTATATTAGTACTGGTATTGTTGTTATCATGATTAAGTGAAAAACAACTATATAGAATACCATCAAAAAACGAAAGAAATGGCAAAGCTTACACCAAATCGATAGATAGTACATTTTATTGAAAAACACTAGAAACTAAATTGCGAAGGAAGTGATAAAATGTTCGGCGTTGATCGTTTTCGGCCCTGAGGAATAGGCCATGATCTCTAGTTCATTAGAAATCGTAGAGCTGCTTTAATGAATATCTGGCTCATACCTTGACTTGTGGTGGCGTACCGATGTATCAAGTCGGTGCTGCTATCCTCCCAGGTAATTCTGGTATCAATTTACCGAACTCAGAGGTATGGAGGCTTGATAATCCTCTGGTGAATTCTCTTAAACAAGAATTCTCTTTATACACAAAGCGAGAAGTTTCTGGAGTTATTGTAATAAAAGAAACGCGTAAAGCTAGAAGTATGGAGCTATATAACTTCGGTACAAGCACTGGTTATTCCGACTACAAGGTCGTTGCCGAAGACTATCTATAAGCCATAGCATGGTACTCACATTTGTGATTCTCTCTTGTTTTCGTGGCCCTTGACGACCAGAACAAAAAATCTCGAATTTACTGCATTCATGGGTCGTTACCGGCAACCACTGAGAATCCTTTGAATCAATTTCTACGACTAATAAGAAGACAGGTATAACAGTTTGGTAACATCTACATGCCATTTTCTCAATCAGCTAAACTTCACCTTCTGAGTCGATTGCACTTCATTCTTGCCAGCAGTAATCGAATTTCACATCAGTGGTTTGCCATCAACTACACAGGTAACCACTCTCTTTGGAGGATTTTAGTGTGTAACTAACATCTTCATCATCTGGTACCAATACTGACATCATCTAATGGGTTACATTCAGTGCAGTGGTCTGAGGCGCCCTGCAATACACTTGGGATCGATCCCTGCGCCCCAGTTCCACCCAGCCCTCCATTCCTTTGGGGTCGGAGAATTGACACCAGGCTTGTCTGGGAGGATCGTAACACTGGTTCGATACATCGTTAGGCCACCGCGAGTCACCGAGCGCAAAGACCAGACTTTTGCTTCTCTTCTAATTGCTTCCCTCTTCAACTATTGCTCTGTTTTTTGATTTAAATGTTTTTTAATCTTTGTACTTAATAGTAGATAAATAAAAGCTGCTGCTATTGCATTATTTGTGTAATCCGCTTCTAACCACATAAAGAACTAGTTGTTCAGCGTTAGTTAGTTCCTGAAAGATACGTCACGTGTATTCGACTCCAATCAGTACCTTATTGAATAAATATTTGAGCTATACACTTTTTTTTCCAATGGTCTACTGGTATATGAATTCGGTGTTTTTATGTTCTCCTAAAAACTTTCTGACCACAATGGTATGGGGCTTGGGTAGCTCAGCGGCGCTGGATGGAACGAAATACCGGATAGGTATTGTAATGGACCGCTAACAACTGCGCGAGAAAAACACGTACCAGCCAGACGTTTAAGACAATCTTTGGGCATATTTGATTAAACGATTGATATAACTGTTGCTTTAGGCTCTTTATTTCTCCTTACACTTAGGATGATCTACTCCAACGGCGATAACGACCGTGTTGACATTTACCCTATTGATTGGCATCATGTCGAAGCACCTTTCTGCTTTCATTCCGTCGCTATTCACATCGAACTGGACAAACTGCTGATCATTTTGAGCTTCAAGCAAAGCGATTGAACAGAACAGAGTTTTGTCTTATCGTGAGTTGGAATAATGCTTCTGCTCCCTTTGTGCTAGATTCATGTTTTCTTCTTCGCGTTCTCGATGTAGGTAACCTACGATAACATTTAAAGCTCTCTTTCCTTTACCGCTTCGAACGCTTATTCGTCCGGCATTGTCTGTTTTTCGTTGCATTCCCACAGAACGATCAGTTTCTCCATGGAAACCGGTCGTACGGCCAAGTCACGTCCTCTCATGTTTACCAAGAAACTGCCATTTAACTTCCATCCATCTCAAACGTCATACGTTCGCAATAAACTTGTTTCACTTAACATCTTTGCAAATCCTGTTCTCCATTCCTCGTGCTCTTCAAATCTTGTGCAGAAAAAGATTCTCAATCAAAGGTTTTTTCTATGGTAAATTTTGTTGCTCGATGGCAAGAATGGCGAGTGCTTGGCTACAAGTCTGCTAAGAGTACAAACAATAACATCCGTGAACTCCTATCACTGAGAAGTTATGTGGTATTTTTCTACCATTAACGAGATGCTCACTGTAACACATACTCCTGAGATTTTTAAAATCCAGGATTTCTACATGAAATCTGGTTTTGTCCCACCTTTCCCTTTACCCGTCTTGTCCATCTGTAAGCAGCAAGTTGGTTTTGTGACTAGAAACGTTGATTTTAAGATGCAGTAATGTAATACATATTTCTCTGAGGACATTTCTAGATTACTTCTTCTGAACACCACCTAAAAATCCGTATTCAGTATCAGGCAATTTTATCTTTCTCGAAAACCTGTCGGATTTGACCAGTCCCAACAAGATGCCTCACTCTACCCCACTCGGTGACCCCTAGTTTTACGTCTGGTTTAGATCTCGCCTTAGTCGAATAATTCTACCCTATTGAAATGTTTCTTAGATAAAGAGGGACAACTAATTCCTTTTAGGATCCAGCTTGTTTAGGTCTAGCGTTGTTTGACATTGTGGTCGCGATGCTTGTCACTCTACAGCATGCTTCACTAGCCTGAAGTGTTATGAGATTTTGAGGCCAACTGGATGAGCATCGATGTCACCGTCTGATTTCTTTCATTGTCCTCGTATTTGCTGTCGTCGAGTGCTGATGTTTCTGTGGTTGCAATCTATCCTATTCGTAATCTTCGTCGGCAATCATTATTCCATCTCATCTTCGTTGCACCAAAGACATTCTTCGTAGTTTATGCGAATCCATACCGAGTTTTCCAGTCATCATATTGTCTCTGGTCAGGTACGTCTTTTTTCACTCTTTCGAAACTCTAGAACGTTCTCTTTTTCAATCACAGGCATACTTTTGTGAACTTTTTCCGATTATTGATTATCAGACTAAATTTTCTGTACTTTTGTGATAAAATCTACCTTAAAACTTCATAGAACAGTTCATTTATAAATTGAACAGTTGTCTCTGATTTATTGCGTTGTATGGTTTGTTTTTTTCAATGTTCACCAACCGAGGCAACCTTTCACTTTTAACCGGTTTCCTCTTACAATATTCCTCTATGAGAACCACATCAACATAGTGGATTCTGACCATCGTAGATGTTTTGCTGGTATGTACCTTGACCGTGTGAACCCCTAGCGTAAAAAAAGCATAACAGTATAGAATCGTCGCTGTATCCCCTAATTTTTCACTTGCACCTTATTTTCTTCAGGTAGAATATTGTGGGTTGCATGTCTAGCATTTCGGCTTGAAATACAGCTGGATGACCAGTAATCGCTATCAAACTGTTTGTTTGAGTGATTAGCTTCCTTTCGCATAACACATAACAGTCACCAAGAGTATTTCCATACGGCGTCCAACTCAATATTGCTAACAGCTCGCCAGATGTTTCAAGTTAGTGCCGGCGACTTTATCGGGTAGAGCATCTCCGAAACTATTCGCTTCGTGTCCGTCTATTGTTTGAGTTCGAATTTGCTTTATAGGATTACCGCGAACATATTCAACACGACGAATAATGCATATAGTCCGTTCAGTCCCTTCTGACCGTTCAGCTATAGTCGAGTCAAGCTGTTTCTCTTTTACCGCTTACCAGTGTCGTACATCGGTTTCCTTAGGTGTCAGTCGTGCAGACTTATCAAGCTCAGTTATTGGGATCACCTGCATGTTCATCAGCAGGAGCTTCTCATTCCATGACCTTATAAGAAATGAATAAATATTTTCAAAGAAAGAAAGCTTGTGGACAGTCAAAAATATTCCAGTTTGGCACTGTTGTATATCCTAGTCAGTAAGTGTATTTCGTTTTCTAAGCATTTTAGTATCAGAACCTTCTACCTTGCTGATTCAAATTCCACTTTCAGTCATTGAACTTAGCCTTATTTTCTGTTATACGGTGGCATCCAGCATCCACAGAACACTACGAAGAAAATTTCTTTTGCTGAAATTATTCTCGGTTGTAACCTAAGCTTTTTTTAATAATTTGAGAACGTTTGTTTCTAAGCTTTGGTTCTGGTTACTTCTAAGTGGATCGTCTATGGGTGATTCATCACAATTTTTTCATTCTAACCAATGGAAAGAT